ACAACATCATTTACAATAGGAGATCAGAGCGATAGTACTATAACAGCCATAACAACATCATTTACAATAGGAGATCAGAGCGATAGTACTTTAACAGCCATAACAACATCATTTACAATAGGAGATCAGGGCGATAGTTCTTTAACAGCCATAACAACATCATTTACAATAGGAGACCAGAGAGATAGTTCTGTAACTGTTTAACGACATCATTTAAAAAGGGAGACCAGGACGATAGTTCTTTAACAGCCATTACAACATCATTTACAATAGGAGACCAGAGAGATAGTTCTGTAACTGTAACAATGACATTAGAAACAAATGGAGACCTGGGAGATAGTTCTGTTACAGAAACAACAATATCATTTACAAAAGGAAGCCTGGGAGATAGTTATGTAACAGTAACAACGACATCATTTACAAAGGGAGACCAGGACAATAGTTCTGTAACAGAAACAACATCATTTACAATAGGAGAGCAGGGCTATAGTTCTGTAACAGGAACAGCAATAACAACAATGTTTGCAAACTAATTTTGAAATTCGGGAAAAGTTTCAAGATTTCGACCTGTACAAAAAAAGAATTCCAACCTGTTTATTCCATAAAAAAATGTAACCAAATATGATAACATTTCACGGTTTTAACGTAAAAGTTTCAAGTTCCATCAATTAAGATCCAATTTTCTATTTCTGTATTCACTTTTTTCCTCATTTTTTTGCTGAATAGTAAATAATAGTTGTTTCAGTCTTCTAATTGAAGTAGACGTCTACAGCGAAGTCGGACAGATGATGTGACCGAGCGCAGGCATACACTGTCTTTAGCAGATATCTGTATTACTGTACAATACGGCGATATTGGTGGCTGGATCGAGGCTGTATCACTTGAACTTGTTGGTTGTTAGTCAAACAAACATGAAAACGAACTAAATACTACTGCTAAAGCTAGATTAACTAACCACACACATTAACTACAGGTAGTTCATCTATTGCTGACAGATAGCGTACATATTTGAGCTTAAAGCTGCTAACAAACTAATGAATGGGTTACGTTTCCATTGAAAAGTGAATCTGTTCTTTAACATCTTTTCAGTTTGCACCAGAAATGCATACCAGTTGTTGATTAGTAAGCAGTTGGATCCGATAGTTAAACAGTTAATTAGTTGGCAGACATGTTTATGAATAAGCATCGGGATGCTAGAACAGATAGTGAATTAGCAATCAGCTGGATTAAGTAGTAAACGAAGTATTAACTTAAGTTACGGGAGTTATTAAGCAGCCAGCATACCCGTAATTAGTTAGCTAGCAGCTAGAAGCAAAGACCAGTAGAAGCAAATTCGTTAGCAGCTATAATATGTATTCGAATACTTACCGTTAGCGGGAAGGTTTGCTTACCACACTCTATCTGGTATATTTACCAATAGTGTTCAGATGACGCTATGCTAAAACTTAGTAGGTCATTTTGAAAATACTCACAGACCTGATATCCCCCACTGTTTCTCACAGTAGCGGATTGCCACGTCAATTAGCGATAAACCGACTAGGGTGATTGTAGGGACTATAGTGATTGGTCCGATATAACGTAGGAGGATTCCTAGAAGTCCAGTACAGCCAATGAAAACCTGTGTTACTGACGCAAGCATGATTCCGCCCTGTATCTGCAGATAAAAAACGTAAAACTTGAATTCATATTGCATTTCACATTATTTCATTATTGAACATACACGAAATAAGCAATCGTATCTCGTTGTTGTATACGAGTTTAAACATAGAATAACTGTTTTTTTAACAAATAACTGTAATTTGTATCACATATTTAGTATAATCACCTTCAATCAGTATCACTCTCAGTTTTTAAGGAACATAGAAAAATCATCTGTAAGTCACATCATATATCAGATTACTATGAACATGACCATGTAAGTGTGTTTACAGAAGAACTAACCTCCTGGTTGAAAAATATAAAAAGATTTAGGTTTCAAATCAGGTTCTAGAGCGTAACGAGTGGTACATGGCTTGCCGCAGCGTAGTTGTTATCGATGGCAACATTGATGTGGAAAAGAAAACTTGAGAGAGTTGGCAGATAAAGTTACTACTAGCGTGATAAATATGTCATGGACATTTGAGCAAATCCAATACACAGTATTTGGTCACGCCAGTGATATATGAATACATAGGATACCAAATATAAATTACTTTAAATTAATAATATATGATTAATTATATAATCAAAAATAATATATTCTCATGTCGTGGCTCTGCCTATCGAAACGGAACTTGTTTGGATTGTGACCTCAGCTACTCCCCGGAAACACGCAATGGTCAATAGATATACCCCCGACTTACGATTGTTTACTCGAATCTTTACTTTAATAGGTAAGTGTAATCAACTGCATTATTTATCAATGTCTGTCGCACTGAAGAAACAATAATGACATACATGCGATTAGATATTTCGTACCGTTTCAGATGACAATAAGTGTGACCATACCGAGCACTACAACATTATTGGGAATGCTCTGCCTGTTTCAATAGCTTTCAGCTAATAATGTAGAGTTGGAATGAAGTGACCAACCGGGACCTTTCCATTGCTTTGATTTGTTGTTAGGTTTGTTCTTGTGATGTTGCATGAACAACATGAAATGAGCCAACAGTAGCGCAGTTGTTTCGTAGTAGCGATTTTACTGTTAGCAATGTTAAACTCGCTCACTTTATAGTGGTTAGGTAGTAATGTTAAACTCACTCACTTTATAGTGGTTAGGTGGTAATGTTAACTAAAATAGACATTTCCTGTTGGACAATGCTGCGCGACGGATTACAATGAATCGATACATTTTTTATTCTGGATTTAAAGCAAAACATGAAGAATTGTAAATGAATTTGAACATACAATCTTCAAGCGTATACGTCTTCCTTCATTGCGAGTTATTTGAAATGTCTAATCATACAATACCAAACGTTACTTTATAAACTGACACGTCGTCGTCAGAGTTAATCTACTCATTTTATGTTGATCTTTCATCGCCAAATCGCATATGTCCGTTATGTGGTAAACACGGTCCATCTGTGTATATATGTTCTGGTTTATACATCATATTATCTTAATACCAAAGGTATGTTTGTTTACCGTATACTGGTTATGCAAAATGACAGCATCTCATCCTGAATTCTTGTAGTTTGTCACGTTTGTTTTGTCAAGTTTACATCAAGTTAATGTTCTTGTGCCGTTTTAAGTGCGTTGTCACGAACTTCATAATCAAAGGTACATGTGACTCAAAAGAGCGTTGATATTCCCTATCCCTGTAATACATTATAGTGTTTCAACCTATCATTCACAAGATCCAAGATGCTATTTCTTGACTGCATTGGTGACGGCATTGTATCAAAGAATTCATAGATATTTCAAATAAGAATTTAGTTAGATTTTCCTCCCGTAAAGTTTTTACAAGGACTACCCATTCTAGACGAGATAAAAATTAATATCATATTAATACAAGTTGTCGAACCACACATACCCCTATTAGACTACAACTATTTATTGAAAAAAAGTGCAACGAATTGGATTTGTATATACCTTTGTGGCAAGAAGTAGAGAATGTTATTGGCTTTGACTGTTTCGTTAAATGAGTAATTGCCGAAAGTCTATTAAATCCTTATGCTTCTTTTCTGTGTTAACTACCCCTGTGGGTTTTAACCATGAGTTACACCTGACAATGTATTTACCTTAGCATCAAAGCTGTCGCCTTGATTCTGATAGATTACCTGCTGGTATATGAAGGAGTTCTACAAAGTTTAATTTTAAAAGGACCATGCGTTCCTGTGTCAATCTTTATTCTCATGTTATTGGCATGTTTAAGGACAGAATCAATTATGTTGAAATGTTGTAATGCCGTTCAGAAACATGTTTTTCTTTTGTTTGCCAGCGTGGGCTTTGTTTCCCTCTTTCTGCATGATTTTGTAATAAATTCTTTTAATGAAACAACATTTGCATGCGTTCATAAACAGGATTTACTAGACATTTAAAAGAGTTTACGTCCACTTGAGAGTTTTCTTGATAAAAGTTATAAAACAGGACCTGTTCAGGAATGCTCAGGCTATACATGTAACTCACAACCATTAAATCTGCCTACCGATATTGCTTTGCAGGATCTTTGCCATCAAAAACCCGTGCTCCTCCCCAATCATTCGTGGAGGTCATATGTGGTGTTACTACCTCGATTTTAAACATTTAATTTAATAAAAGATCAATAGATTTAAATGAGATTCCTCGATGTAGCACTCAAGGTCAGTTAATAATCTTGAACCAATATAAAAAATGACAGCAGTCACAAATCGATATTTCTTTTCAGGTATTTGACAATGAAGTATTCGCATCAATATATTTCTATATTTGTTGACCCTTCAACTTTACTTTGAGTATACGGATTTTAAGTTTTATTTGAGCTTTTTCGTACAATTTGGTTAATTTAATCATGAGTTAATTAAATAAACTTTGGACCAAGAAACGACCAGTAAAGTTTACGTTTATAACTAAATATCAACTAATATTATAGTCTTGTCGCCACCAATACAGATAACAAATCGCGAATTCCATTTATTTCCTTGTCTACCTTTTTGTGTCTTTCATTCTAGATTTATTTCCCTGAACCTTCGCATTATCTGCTATCGAAAAATAGATTTTATCCTTTTTATTAAAGTAATGTCAACATTTGATTGGTTTGTTTGTCCTACCATAGGCCTTGACCGGTACCAGCTGTAAACTATGTTAAAACTTGCCTATTTCTGTTTCATTTATCATCACAATGTAAACGTGCGTTACATGTTATGTAGCGAAGTTAAACATTCTTCCAATTTTCGTAGACTTTCTTTGCAATAGATCCTCGTCAGATTTATTTCTTTTTCCAGCTGGACAGAAGTATATTCGGCGTTTACTGATGGTATTTCAACTTTAGCTTACCTCTCTTATCCGTGACTGCCATATCTCTGTCCTATCCAGCACAGTCTCGTTAAGCGTGGCATTCATAACGCCATAAACATCTGCAGCTACAATAAACAGTTATTTAGAATGCATAGGTTTATATTTCACTTAGTGTGTGTTTGTTCAGTTACAACTGAAACCCAGTTTCACACCAGATTCAATGTGTTCGACTTCAGCTAATATGACAACAATCAGACTATTTTATAAGTCCCTTCTATAATAGGGAAACACTTAATTGTAATTTTGAAGACAAGCAAGTCAACCCGGGCAGCTCATATGCAGTTATAAACTTCCACCGCTGATGCAGCTACGTAACGTGGTGTTCCATCTACCGCGACAGGTAACGTTACGTGAAGTAAAGACTGGGATGGAGTTTACCTGACGTATCAAAATCCGGGCACTTCCACTTTTCGAGAGCAAGTAGGGCAGTGATGGCGGGTATGAATTTGTGACATCCACCCTGGATGATAGGGAGTCTACAAATTTAGTAAATGATAAAATACAATAACGTTGAATTTTTAAATACCTGGTAGATGGGAAGATACATTCGAAGTTGTTTCTCTTCATTTGATAAATAAATGTAACGCCACTAACTATTTAGACTAATCAGGTCGTACTCAGAGGGACTTCATTGTATGGTAGTATTTATTTATTGTTTTAAATATCCAGGCTTTCACATTATTATTATGATATATTGCATTCAATTTCCATTCAGATTTACGATCCCAAAATATGTTTGATATTATTTTAATCCCTGTACAAGAATAATAAGAGAACGAAGTGAACTAATAGTGTCTGTACATAGGATGACAAGGTGAACTAATAACATAATACAAAGTGAGCGATAGAATGTTCTAGCTGGGTCTGTAAAACGATACGCACAATTTGACTTGTAACATCTGTGCAATGACAGGTATGTGGTGTGATATTGGTGTATGTACAAGGTCAAGGCTGCCATGTGAAGAAGACCATGATGGACGTTTGATGTGAAGGGTGAAGATGTACGTACCTGACTCCTACGACCACCTGTAGTATGGTACATATGCCACACATGAAGAGAAAGGTCGACATGATCTCCGACTTGACAACCTGTAAGTCACCTGCACAGATTTTGTCGCTCACGATGAGAGGAATAGAGATGGTGGAGCTGATAGCCAGAAGCACTTGCTGACAAAGACAATCATAGTAATATATGTTAATACCAGACAAATACGTAGCATCGTAATTGTATACAAGCGTGAGTGTATCAGTATCATATCAGTGTGAGGTTTGATTTCCTAACTAGCCCTCGGTCTTGATAACGATTATCTACAGAACACTTATATTTGAAGAATATTATCATTACTTTACCATTACATCCAAATGTAAATTATCATGTTGGGTTTCTGGAAATATGGACATACCGGCGAATGAAATAGATCGTTCGAACCGGCCTTATCTTTACCATCCCATTATTTAAACGTTTACTTTGTTAAAAATAGAAAATATTGTAATTTCACATAGACAAAATGACTGTAAGTACTGTACAGACAACACTCTGCGCTCAATTAATTAAATCAAATTAAATCAAATAATTAAATAATAATCAATTAAAGCTGAAAAATGGAATTGTGTGCTAGCTATAGAGACAGCGCCGAGACGTGTTTGTCATTACTCGTCTCCGGATGGACCATTTGAAAACAAAGACCAGCAACATAGCATGTCATTTCCAATTAACAGTAAAACACTTAAACTTTATAGTTTACTACATACGATATTTTAATAGGAATATTACAAGTCTTATTTGCATTGACCTGGTCGTAGATTTCATCAAATGATCAAACCCGCCTTTACTCATACATTTACGGAAAATTACATTTAAAGCATTTAGGACTCACACAGCTAAATCAGCCAATCAGTATGTGTCACATACAGTTCTTTTTGGCTAAATTCAACTTAAAATAATGTATACCTTCACCAACATCTTGTTTATTGATTTAATCTGTTTCTGTTGTGTGTTTACTCAGATAGTTAACTGTTTATAGCATTACATCCCCCCTACCCCCAATATTCTCCCTGTAAAGTGCCGGCACCCCAGGGAGGAAGAAGTGCTATATGTAAGTCTGTATAATTGATAGCTGATAACCTGTTATGACTCATGTTTTGTGTAGAATTTTGGAGTTTTGTGTAAATTCTAAGTGTGTTAAATTGTCAAAATTCTATCAAATTTACTCAAATTAAGTATTTGATTACTTACATGTAAGATACTGTAAAATAACAGAAACAGAGTCACCAAGATTTCTTTTCAAAAATATGTGAGTGGTATGGGTAATAAATGTGAGTGCAAAATATGAAATTGCTGAGTGTGTGCTAAATTGGTGTGCTAGAGGTTGATGTTAAGTAAGTGAAATGAGAATTATTTGGTGCTGACTCTGAATAGCACATGTACATCAGGGGCTATAACTTGGGTTTTCTTCATAACTTATCTTTTTATTTCCACCAAACTTATACATTTTACTCGGTAATGTATTTATTTTTAACAACTTACTTCATTTTAACATTTTAGAATGTAAAGTTTTCCTTTAAGGACTCGCACAACTAAATCAGACAATCAGCAAGTGTTTCATACGTTTGTATTTCCTATCGAAAATAAGTTCCGGCTAGTAACTGGGCCACTGAAGGAGTTTAATAAGGAACTGATGACATATTTTTAGATAAATGAAATGTTCAGGTATTTGACTTTTAAAAAATATAAACTTTTGATAAGTGCGAAGCTCACGGGTGCCGTAGGCACCCGAGCGGAGCTCTTTACCGGTAACATATGCGTGTAAATAGATCCGATCCAAACTTCCATCACTTAATCGTATAGCTACAGCCTAGAAACTTTTCGTACTTCCGGTGACCTGTTCCGGTTCATGGAGCCCGTAAATATGCCTAATCGAATGATAAAGCGACATATACATGTAACGTAGCAGGAAAATTATGTATTCGAACCAACGATTTTTTTTTTGAAATAATGACCATATTCAATTCACTGGGCGTGTTTATTTCCACGATTTCTTTCCTTTTGTAACGAAAAGATAAATCATCGGCATGGTCATTAAAAAGCTTACATGAATGTCACAAGCTAATGGCGTCGAAGAGTGCGTAGGAATGTGATTAGATGACAAACTGTATTACCGTCGATTAAATTAGCTTAAATTTTGGTAAGAAATACATAATTTGATACTGACAACTTTCTAAACATACACATTTTCCATCTAAATATTGAAAATCGATCGTAACACACGATGACCATTCCCACTAGGACGGAAATACCCGAATATGTACGAAGCAGGGTCAATGACGAAGTCGCTTGGTTCATTTGACGAGGTCAAAGTTCACGGGTCGTCTGCTCCAGTGAAACAGAATTGCCACCGACAGCTTTCCAAGGGAAAAACGTAAGGTGTTTCAAAGGGTCAAATTGCGGATTTTTCAGTATTACTACTCTTGTTTTTTCTGCATTTATTGTAGAACGTCAACTGTATATTCAGTTAATATTAATTCTGCCATTTGGGGATCGTTTCTGTTGATATTTTATTTGATCCAAATTTGTGATATACAGTACAGTAGAGTTTACAACTAAAACTGTTGAATTTCAATGCTAACGTTAGATCTGCTTGTACAATATATTCATTATTGAATCTAGTTTCATCTAATGCAATCAAATTAACAATCATTTAAAAAGACAAACATTATCTGTACAGTTTTGTACAGTAAAATATCTTTATTGATACTTAGATAAATATCAACTTTAAACGCTTGACATTTTTTACTTCCGTTCAACTGTGTAAATCATTACAGCATTTTGATTAGACATTGAAGTGAACACATTAGTTTGCTCTGCTTTATGAATATCAGTAAAGAAGAGAATTAAAAATATTATATTTTCACCACTTTTATTTTTGTTAACAGATTGCATAATATGCGACTGTCAGCAACCGGCATTTCTAATCAAAATCAAAACTATTCTGCATATGAAAATTATGATATACCTGGTGATGGCAATTATTTTTATTCAACCACATTTAACACCAATATTGACTCAAGAACAACAAGTCCATCATGAAACTGACCATCAATGGCATCAACACAATCATCACTGAAACTTCACTTGCAAAGAAATGGTTTTAGCTGATATGCCAATCTATCTCTAGGTATCTACAAAAACTTTATGACAACAGCGACGATGAAGAGGAGGAACTCCTGCTGTAGATACCTGGAATGTTTAACGTATATCATCAGTACAAACATTAAATTTCATCATTTCACATGGATTATCTGAATTATTAAAAAGGAAAAATCAAAAATCTTCATTTTATACTTATAGTGGTGGGAGACGTGACATTCTCTTACCCTGGAAAGACCCTGTGACCCAGAAGAAGAACTACTTTTATGAGGTCACACACATACACAAGTTCGTCTGCTAATCTTGTCGTGTTTACATTTGACATCAAAGAAGATGGGATTGATTTTAAAATGTTTAAAATATGATGCATGAACCGTCTGACGCATACATATAATATTAATACGCTATCCACGTGTTCCTGTTTATAAACAATATGCTTCGTCTTACACTTGGACAGGAACAACAGGGTAAGAGTAACATAATCATTCACCCCCTCGGGGATGAGATAGGGGGATCTCAACCCTCGGGGGAAGATTCTTAATTTGCCAAACACGAGGCTTAAATTATAGGTACATTTTGTATGTATTAAAATGGGTATAAAATGTTACGATTCCAAAATTATACTTTACTATTAAAACAAATGTACGAGCTTCGCTCTCTCCAGGCCATGCCTGAGTCACATTATATTTGCATGTCTGTGTGCGGATTTGCACAGGGGCAAAATGTCTGGGGGCGTTTCTGTTTTGGGTCACCGGTTTTGCTTGTAAACTTCCGGTTGTCAACTTCTTGGCGCTGTGACACTCCAATATGCCACTAAACCTACAAAAGTCATTTTGTAGCCTTTGCAATGTATGTATTTATGAATCTAGACAGTTGTCACTAGTTTTGAACTTCAAATATTAAAGTTATTAGCTAAAATGTTTGGTAATAACATATAGTAAATGATTTAGTTGTGTGAGTTCTTTATTGTCTACCTATCGTGTTACATGCGCCTTGTGACCCGGGGGAAATAACTATCAATCGCTGTGCGCTTTGCATATGTTGTAGTCTGTGCAAGAGTGTGTTTATATACACGTGGGCACATGTATGTGTCAAAGTGTTGATACCTGTGAGGTTGTAAGTTGCACAACACATAAAGTGTGGTATGCGGTGTTACCACATATTTCATCCCGCCAGTGAGCGTGCTATACACGTGCCGGGAACTGTTTAGTACATCTCACCTTCCACGTGTAGCTGGCACAGTAAATATTTGGACACGTTATGTGTGTAACACTTCACCATCTTAATTAAACATTTTACTTCACAAATACATTATGGTCTCCTTCAGTAGGGTGAGTGATGATAAGGAAAGTCAATATTAGTGTTTTATATACACGTGTAAATGTAAGAAGTATATGTGTTAACTTAACCATACAATACATATATACCTGAAGGCCGAAAATGAAACACATATGCAAGGCAGGGAGATCGTCAACTCCATACTCCAAACCGACGTAACGAGCCTTTCCGGACTTTTTCGATGTTGACACTCCGTTCGAGATCATTGGACCAGTTGCAAATACATCCCCCACATTGTTTGAAGGATCGGAAAGATGAATGTTGCACTCGTCTCGGTTGTGATCATCTATGCCACATGAAGACTTGGTGAATTCGGTAAGCTCTGCCATTTGGATTCACAACTTCTCATGGATGTTGTACTGGTCCACATGACTGTTGAGCTCGACAAGATTCTAAGTCGTCTCCCTCAGTAGATGTGGACGCTGATACAATTTACATTGACGAGCGGTCAGTGTATGACAACTCTAAGTGTCACCATAAATCAACAGGGATGTTTACACTGCCAGGGTTGGGTACACGTTCTCGTGTTAGCTCTACCTAATGGGTACTGGTATGGCCTGACACGGTACATAAATCACCCACAAGGCAGGACTTTCTTCTGTGCGAGGGTCAAGGCTACGGTCGGCTGAATAGTATATTATTGTTTGGTCCTTCATATAGTGGGAGATCCAGAGACATACCCCGGGGAAGGGTGTTTGTGACCCGCACGATATTCTTGAAGTCAAAAAAGCCTCTCTGGATTGACCACTGGTATCAAACGTGATAGTTAAATCCGACTCCAGGCGCGTTAATGTTACGTAATACTGCACGGAGTCGAGTAAAATAGGAAAATGTTATATTTGCTGTTAGATTGTTGTTAACACAGGCGTACGTGACAGCGTGCTTGTATTACGGTGCGCAGAGTGAGTATTACGGGTATACATATTGTGGGGTGTTTTGTAATTCATATTCACTTTTGACTATGCATGATAGGTTTTTACTGTGTGTTTTATGGGTTGTCGAAGTGATTTAAAGCAGTCTTTGATTGTTTGTTATTGCATTTTTAGTACAGATCTGTATACATGTATTATTGGTTTGATTGCGTTCCATAGCTAGCCTGCATTTATTATCTTAAGTATCTGAAATGTTTAGTTGAGTGATCAAGACTTGTCTTATGTTGTCATAATTTACTTTGGTATATATGTATCCATTTCTAAGTGGTTTACTTATTTTGGTAACCTGACGACCGCTCTGTTGCATTTGATATCACTGACACAAAACCTAACCACAGTTGTGGTATTTCAATACATACTGGTTTGGTAGCGTGTCTCAACCTCCTCTCGATCATAGGTATGTAGATGTAGACTACAAGTCAACCTCCTCTCGATCATAGGTATGTAGATGTAGACTACAAGTCAACCTCCTCTCGATCATAGGTATGTAGATGTAGACTACAAGTCAACCTCCTCTCGATCATAGGTATGTAGATGTAGACTACAAGTCAACCTCCTCTCGATCATAGGTATGTAGATGTAGACTACAAGTCAACCTCCTCTCGATCATAGGTATGTAGATGTAGACTACAAGTCAACCTCCTCTCGATCATAGGTATGTAGATGTAGACTACAAGTCAACCTCCTCTCGATCATAGGTATGTAGATGTAGACTACAAGTCAACCTCCTCTCGATCATAGGTATGTAGATGTAGACTACAAGTCAACCTCCTCTCGATCATAGGTATGTAGATGTAGACTACAAGTCAACCTCCTCTCGATCATAGGTATGTAGATGTAGACTACAAGTCAACCTCCTCTCGATCATAGGTATGTAGATGTAGACTACAAGTCAACCTCCTCTCGATCATAGGTATGTAGATGTAGACTACAAGTCAACCTCCTCTCGATCATAGGTATGTAGATGTAGACTACAAGTCAACCTCCTCTCGATCATAGGTATGTAGATGTAGACTACAAGTCAACCTCCTCTCGATCATAGGTATGTAGATGTAGACTACAAGTCAACCTCCTCTCGATCATAGGTATGTAGATGTAGACTACAAGTCAACCTCCTCTCGATCATAGGTATGTAGATGTAGACTACAAGTCAACCTCCTCTCGATCATAGGTATGTAGATGTAGACTACAAGTCAACCTCCTCTCGATCATAGGTATGTAGATGTAGACTACAAGTCAACCTCCTCTCGATCATAGGTATGTAGATGTAGACTACAAGTCAACCTCCTCTCGATCATAGGTATGTAGATGTAGACTACAAGTCAACCTCCTCTCGATCATAGGTATGTAGATGTAGACTACAAGTCAACCTCCTCTCGATCATAGGTATGTAGATGTAGACTACAAGTCAACCTCCTCTCGATCATAGGTATGTAGATGTAGACTACAAGTCAACCTCCTCTCGATCATAGGTATGTAGATGTAGACTACAAGTCAACCTCCTCTCGATCATAGGTATGTAGATGTAGACTACAAGTCAACCTCCTCTCGATCATAGGTATGTAGATGTAGACTACAAGTCAACCTCCTCTCGATCATAGGTATGTAGATGTAGACTACAAGTCAACCTCCTCTCGATCATAGGTATGTAGATGTAGACTACAAGTCAACCTCCTCTCGATCATAGGTATGTAGATGTAGACTACAAGTCAACCTCCTCTCGATCATAGGTATGTAGATGTAGACTACAAGTCAACCTCCTCTCGATCATAGGTATGTAGATGTAGACTACAAGTCAACCTCCTCTCGATCATAGGTATGTAGATGTAGACTACAAGTCAACCTCCTCTCGATCATAGGTATGTAGATGTAGACTACAAGTCAACCTCCTCTCGATCATAGGTATGTAGATGTAGACTACAAGTCAACCTCCTCTCGATCATAGGTATGTAGATGTAGACTACAAGTCAACCTCCTCTCGATCATAGGTATGTAGATGTAGACTACAAGTCAACCTCCTCTCGATCATAGGTATGTAGATGTAGACTACAAGTCAACCTCCTCTCGATCATAGGTATGTAGATGTAGACTACAAGTCAACCTCCTCTCGATCATAGGTATGTAGATGTAGACTACAAGTCAACCTCCTCTCGATCATAGGTATGTAGATGTAGACTACAAGTCAACCTCCTCTCGATCATAGGTATGTAGATGTAGACTACAAGTCAACCTCCTCTCGATCATAGGTATGTAGATGTAGACTACAAGTCAACCTCCTCTCGATCATAGGTATGTAGATGTAGACTACAAGTCAACCTCCTCTCGATCATAGGTATGTAGATGTAGACTACAAGTCAACCTCCTACCGATCATAGGTATGGAGATGTAGACTACAAGTCAACCTGAAGGAGCTATTCTGGCTGCTCCTTCTGCGTACCAGTTTGTTTATAATAATAATAATAATAAAAATGTTTATTGGAGTGTCACATATTGATCAAAAGACATATATACTTACATAATGGAATTTACTTACATAAGAGATCAATATCCAGCCAATTATCTCGACTTATGAGACACTTAAAAGACATTCTATATACGTACATTATTGAATTAAAAATAATCAAAAATCACAGCTCGCATTAGAGTCGGATTGCCTCATTATTACCTCACAACGGTTCCATTGCTACAAAGTATTATCGAAATTATTTCTATTCACGACAAAGTCCTATAAAGTAATGTTCATAAAATAGATATGTTACGTATTAGTAAACAGCTTTCTTATGTTGTAGAAGCAGTACACGTCACTGGCTACAGTTTGATGTATCTCTTCATTTTTCAAAATTTCGATAAACTTTGTTTCACTATTCATAGAATTAAATTGATCGTTTTTTCTAGCGCAGACATGTTAAATCGGATATCGTCATATAGTTTACAGTCTATTAGAAAATGTTTTTTCTGTTTCTACTGCTTGGAGATCGCATAATCTACATAGTCTTTCCTGGAGTGGCGTCGGCGGCCTGGAGTATCGGCTTGTCTCAACAATCAGTGGTAGACATCCGGCGCGAAACATTGCAAAATACCCGTCTATGGGATCTTTGTATGTCCTTTTTAAGTTTTTTTTTTTATAATGACGTTGACTTTTCATTGATCCCAAATACAGAAACAAAGTAGTATACTTATATAACCTCGAGGTAATTAAAAACCCTTCACTGAGGGCTGACACTGATAAAACATTAGTTAACAGCATGCTGTGTATAATATCAATGGACTTAGGGATGACCTCAGTTTAATGTCTAATGTAATTGTATCACTAATCTAATGGGTGGAAGCGAGACAACTCCCCATGATTGTTGAACAGTCTTCACCAGCTGAACTGTATCACTAAGGGAAACAACTCAACCAGTACTATTTGAGGCGCACTCTTCAAGTAAAGTGATTGTTTATGCTCTGCCTAAAAGACTATCAATGAAAAATAAAATAAAAACTGAGAGCTGCACTTTTGCAGCAAAGGAAGTAATGTGAGTGCGTTGTCTTCAAACTAATGTTCTAAGTAAATGTTAAAACTACTATGTACTTTCATTTCAACAAGGGTCTTGCCAGCTATAGGAATTTAGTCCTTAGAAAACTAGCGTGTATCTAAATATTAAACGTTGACCAGTGACTGAAATAGTTGTAAGAAGTATGGTATTTTTTTAACGAGCTCAAAATAGCATTTATCAATATCTATAAAGCTTCTAATACATAATTTGAATATGTTACCCATTCTAACATTCACGTATAAAGCTAGCAGCGGTACTTCGATTACTGACCCGATGCTGTCGTTAAATTTTTACTCACACTCGTAAAAGTATTAAGACAACGTCATAAATTGTTATCAAATAACATGTATATACCCGTCAATGTCAACAAATAGTTTTCAATAGCCAAGCAATGGTCCCGTAAAATCTAAAACGTTATTTAAAAGAAATGCATTAATGCAATATTAATTTTGAAGGTCAATTAATGATGGGAATACATTTTTATAAATGCTGTTATGGTACCTCATTTATATAACAGCGTGTCTGATTGGACTGTATAGATCACATGACAGGGAAATGATTAGGCATTTAGCTGCTTTTAGATGTGATTCGAATACGATAAGAGTTAGTATTAGTTTAGTTTAGTATGTCTATTCAAGCCGTGGCTACGCGATTATATTTCTCTGGATTCGGTAGAATTAGACAGTATTCTACGGATTAGAGTTGATGGTAGACTTTTCCCTGATCAAAAAAGTATTTTTTATAGCACTAACATATTTACCGCCGGATGGTTCTGTGTTTCATCATACTTATGGCGAAGAGTTCTTTTCGTTGTTAGAGAACAATATCGGCCACTATAGTACTTTAGGTAAGGTGTTTGTAATTGGAGATCTTAACAGCAGGACTGGCCGGTAACCGGACTATATACCTATAGACGCGCTACATGACAGTGTGCATCGGCAACTTGATACCCTCAGGAGCCATGTGACGTCACGCGTAACTCAGCGGACTCGAAAGTCACTACGTTTGGTCGTAATCTGCTATAGCTTTGTAAGTCAACGGGTGTTCAGATCCGTAATTGTCGGACGACAGGTGACCCGGATGGTAAATTAACATTTTGTAATTATAATGGTACTAGTGTTATAGACTATGCATTAACTGATAAAATGTCAATGTCGTCTGTCAAATGTTTTCAAGTAGGTTGTTTCAGTGAACATTCGGATCATGCGCCAATATATCTAATATTGAATTGTCTACTGTCAGAAAACACTCAATGTAATTGTTGTTCTGTTAATGATAAGTATGCTACAGTAAATAACGTAGCGTGGTCAGATAAAGCCAGTAGCAAGATAGCAAACGACATTTATGATGCTAGACTCTTGAT